CAGAGAAACCCAGGCTACTTCTGCCGGAGGTGAGGTGAGAACTGTTCCCTATGGTCTTAATAGGAAAGGTTCCGGATCGTATTTGTCTCTCCCCTTTATTTTCTGGATCATTTCTCTGGGTCCTGAGCTATATACATCACTTGCTCCTTCTCCTCTCCCCCATAACTGATGGGAGGGTTCCCTGGAGGCAGACTCACTGTCTTTCCAAGGTGGGTGGGCTCGGCAGCAGGAACAAGGATTCAATGGAATGGGGGTGCATATCAACCCCTATTGTCACCTCCCCTGCCCCCCGCAACCATTGCAGCAGCAAATATGTTCAGAGCAGGATAAGCTGAGCTTTTGGCGAAGGGAGCTGGGTCCTCCCAGGGCTGTTTTTCTAGAGAAGGCCCAGTCTTTAGCCTTGCGACCTCAGCTGGGTTTCTGCAATGCCAGCGCCAACCAATGTGTTCAGCACCCAGGTCCTGGTTGCCACAGAGCCAAGGGAGCTGCTGCAGAGTAACTGTTCTGGAATGCAGACCTGGCCAAGGCATTATCCAGACCCTGGTATTCCAGTGGCTTCCCACTGCCCATTGGATAGAGCCCACACCCTCCAACAAGATCCATCAACAAAAGCCGGCAACCTCTCCAGCTACATCTCCCACTGAGCATCACCTCATTCTGGACACTATCCCAGCCAGGGCTGTGCTCCCTCCAGGGAGCCCTCCCTCATCTTTTGTCTGGGCAGGCAGGTCTCTCACTTCCTGCTACAGGGCATGGGTTTACCTGTCAGTCTCCCTGGTAGGCTGGGTGCTCATGTGGGCAGACTACAGTTAACTCAGCTCTGGCCTAGAGCCAAACCCTGTGCCTTCACATCAGAGGGCCAGTGGCTGTCGCAAACCACAGTGCCATCTGCTCTGGGCCTTCATTCCACATCTATAAACAAGAAGCCTGGACTAGATCAGGGATGGCAAATATATAGATTAACTAGCAGTACATGCCCATGGTCATGGTAAACCTGGCCAGTCAGTATCTATTAGGCCTGGACACAGCCTCAGAATCATTCTCAACACAGTGTTCTAAGCAGCCACCACTAACCAATCACAGCTGGCATTCGAATGGAAACACTGGCTACTTTTGAGAGAAGACGGCCAGAGATTCCTTCTCCGTGCACCCTTCCCCTCCTTTTCTCTAGTCTGTCTGCTTCCCCAGACTTGGAGAGACTTGCATTTCCTAGTGGAGCACGAGCAACAGGAACCGGGAAGCCTGGTGTAGCCTCCCATCTCCGCCCTGGGCTGATAAGTGGGCAGGTGACCTTCCTGAGCCCCACTTTCCCAATCACGCCTCCTCTGCAGAAACAACTGTGATCAAACTGAAAGTAAGTTGCATGTCTAAAAACACCACATAGCTGAAAACAATTATTGGAATTTAAAACAAAACAAGAACAGAAACAGCTTGTACCCAATGCTCCCTTCTCCCTGACCCCTGCCCTCCCTTAACTCCCCAGTTCTGGACCTAGAAATCCTCATTGGGCAGTTTCCTTAGAACTATCTTAGGGCCAAGGAGCTGGGGACCCACCCAGACCAGTGGGTCTGGTAAAAGCCAAGCCAAGTTTGCCAGATGTGCGGCCCAACTGCCTTAGACTGCATGAAAAAAAAAATGTCCCTGCTGGATTATGTGAAATCCATCTGGATCCAAAGCAGAAAATCCAAGTTGGAAGGACCCTCAGAGACCATCTGGTCCACGAGGCTTCATCTACTGGTGAGGCAACTGCGCCCAGAGATGGGGAGAAACCTGCCTGAGGTGACTCAGCAAGTGTGCAAGAGGAGGCGGGGCTCTGCGACAGGTGTCCTCAGGCTCCAGTTCTCTGCCCCGCCCACTGCAGAGCCTCGCCCCAGCCCCTAGGAGCCTGGGGGCTGGTTGGGCTCCACTGCTGGTAAAGTGAGCAACACAGAACTCAGTTCAACACTACGCGCTGGGGACGCCAAGACGAAGGCGATCCTTGGAAAGGAACACACGGTATTAGAATGCCCTTGCTAAGTTCTACCATGACCTCGAGGACCCCACTATATTCCCCAACAGTGTGTATGGCCGGGTCCCAAACCACCTCCCTGTCAGCACTCAACCTGCTGCTACCAGACACAATCTCATGCCACAGGACCCGGCAGGCACTGTCCACCTTGGAAACAACATGGAGTAAGAAAGAGTAAACAGATGAAGGCCAGGCCTTCTGACCCCAGAAGCAGCCTCCCAGCCTGGTAGTCACAGGCCGGAGGAAGGGAGTCCCATTTGTTGCTTCCTGAGGGGCCTGAGTGGGGGGTGGACAGCTGCTCCCTCCCACCCTGGCAGCCCTGCTGACTTCTAAATTTAGCACCAGCTGGGGGTGGAGTGCTGACCTGAAAACTAGGCTGGCCACTTCGGGACAGGGTGTGGCCAAAGCTGGCTCCTCAGTGCAAAGACCCTCCTCCAGCAGAGCTGCCTGCCTAGGCCGCGGCCAAGCAGGGAAAAGTGCAATTATTGGCAGCAGATAAAACCGTCGATACCATCTCTACTTCCCTTCTAATATCAGAGTGGCCGCCTGCAAGATGAGCGAGGGGCAGGGCCAGCAATCAATAGCTAATATTCCTGTTGTGAGCTGGACTGCTCCGGAAATGGGAAGCCACTAACTCCTGCCAGAACGATAGCCTTTCCCCTTAGCAGTGACCCAGCCTGAGGGGTTCAGCATCATGGCCAGGAAAGACCCTTTCCACCTCCATCTGACTGATGGGGAAATGATGCCCTGGGGAGAGGTGGGGTGTCAGCCAAAGTCACCCAAGAAGCAGAGAGGCCAGGGCACACAGCTCCCTGTCCAACAACTCAGCCAGCTCTTGGTGGTTTACCCTAACAGGGATCAGAGATGACCTCAAGTCAAGGGAGTCCAAAAGTCACCTCTGTGTGATGGTGGCTGGTGGCAGCTAAATAAGGACAGGAATCAGTCTCGACGTTCTGACCACACACCCCTGAACGTCACAGGGGAGGGCCCAAGAAGTATGTCTGGAATTAAGCCTTAACCATGGACAATTATACCAAAGCAGGAAGTAGGGAGCTGCCCACGTATCAGGCAGACCTCGCCTCGCCCCAGACTCAGGCCAAAATAGAAGTTAATGACCTATTTTACAAAATACAGCTGGCTATTGTCCACCTCTTCCCACCGTCTGCACTGGGCACCCAGATGGCAGCAAGCAGCCTCAATGGGGATGCACACACGGGGAGCCTGGTAGCTGGGTGGTTCTGTCCACTAGGCAGGAAATCACATTTGCATTCTATCAAGGGCAACCATGGCGTCATCAGAAAGAAGCCCCACAGACAGAATACCTGTGGGGAGGACCATCCCTGGGTGCAGAGGCCAGAAGACGGCTGCCCCTTGGCATGGACGACCATCTTGGACAGCAGCTCTGGAGTTTCCCCTCTGGGAGGAAGGTAAGGGTCACCTCGCTCCCGTCTTTCTTGGACCCATGGCTTTCCAAGGACTTGAACATTTCACTCTTTCTTTGAAGTCTGGCTCCTCTTCAAGATGCTTGTTGTCTCAACCCCAAGATGAGCCCCAGGCAACGCCTGGTCTGGTCCAATCTGGAGCCTACACACTGATTTCTGAGGCTATACCCACTTCCACCCCTAGGACAAGACCCCATTCTGGGCAGTATGCTAGGAATGCACACACCATGTGTGGCCACCCAATGCCTTGATCCGCCACCGCTACGTCCCTCTCACTCCCCTCACTGCATCTTGGTGGGCCACGTGCTATTCTGGTTTTCAGAGAACACCCATATTTCACTGACTCCCTCTCGTCCGGTAAGCAGCATATCCTAACCCTGCTCTCCTGGGAGTTGAAATCAATCAACATGTGAAATCTTGCAAAGCAGCTGTGTCTTCTAGGGCATCTCCCTTCCTTAACATCCCTCAGAGGTATTCATCCCACTGCTGCTCAGATACCTCTGGTGTCAGGGAGCTCCCCCTCCTGCGACCATGCCTCACTGCTGGACACACGGTGTGGAATTCTGGCTGCCACCGAGCAAGCGCCCTCAGACTCTGCCGCACTGGTCAGTCTAGAATTCCTGGGCTTCACAGAGAAATCTCTGCCTTCTTTCCATACTACTGCTCACTCCATATTCTTATCTGCAAGTGCTAACCTTGCATAAGGCCTGGGGAACTCGGGCAGATTCTCAAGCCCAGCTGGACAGGGTTGAAACGATGGGACGTTACACTCAGGAGCTGCATGCCGACACCTCTCTACATGGCACTTCCCATCTCAATACGGTTTAAATGGAATGAGCCCCCCAGAGGGGATGGCAAGATGGAGGAGGAGGTGCAGAGGGGGTGGCAGCCACACCCAACCCTGACAACACAGGCCCTGAGAGCCCAACAAGGTGTCTGTTGGAAAAGGCCGGGCTCTCAACCCATGTGGGATCTGCTCCTGTCTTTGGCGGGCAGAGTGCGGGCACAGATGCTCGTGGGACGCCGTCTGTGATCACACTCGGAAAAAATTAAGTGGTTAACCAGAGGGAAAGGATTCTGAGACCTGCCAGGATGGTGGGTTTTTTGTTTTTTTTTAGATTACGCCTAAGGTTTGTAGTTTGGACAGGCAAAGTAAACAATGACAACGACAGCAGCGACAAAACAGAAACAAAGAACAGTTTACTTGTTTAAGAAAAAGAAAGGCTTTGTTAAAAGACAGCTCCGCGCGGACTTGGACGAAGCCCACCGCGGCCTGACGGGGCGGCCGTGTCTCCCTGCGAAGCGGTGTGAAGGAAACAAACTCCAGCACATGCAGGAAGTGTCCGCTCTCTCTCTTCTCCCCTCCTCGTGTTTAGAAGGGGTGGAGAAAGGGACGGGAAGGGAAGGGCTCGGCTCGAACCAGCATAAAGCAACGGTATTTAGACCATGGCAAACTGAGCTACTACTTACTCCTCTCTCCCTCCCTCCCGCCTGCCAGAGACTGGCCTGGAGTGACAGGAGCACAGGACCGACCAGGGCCCAGCACGTACCTGGAAGAAACCCGGCGGGATGGGGCCTCCGGGCATCCCATCGTTGGGGGGAATGTTGCCAAGCACTGGGCTCGGGGCGGCTGCTGCACTCTGTGGAGACAAGAAGGTGAGGTGTTAGAGGCTGCACCCACAGTGAGACAGAGTTCCAACTCCTGCCCCCCCCTTCCTTGTCTGCCTACATCCTCCACAGACCCTCCTCAACACTGCTTTCCAGGTGTCACTCCCTAGGCAGTGAGGACTCCGGGCCTCATTCCCCTCCTCCGGAATGGGAGAGCTCAACTGCTTCATGAAGTTCCTTCAGGGCAGTGTGGTACTTCCTGAGTGTTGGTCCCTCCCCAGGAGGCTGGCCTGTGGCACAGAGCAGAACCCCATAAATATCCACGACCTAATGAATAAACAGACAGCCCAGCTGGGAAATGTCCCTGGAGAGGATGAGGGAGTGCAGGTGTGATTTTTGGGTCCCGTCAGGGTCCTGGGTGCTACAGGACAGGGGTGGCCTGCACAATCGGGGGAGGGGGTCGTTACTTTTCCTTCTAAATGCTGCTATCCTGGCATTTACCTGGTACATCTGCCTCAACAAATGCCTCCCAGGGGCGAACAGACGCCGCTCGCCTCAGCCTGGCCTCCTTCCAGACAATCTGTGTCCCACCTGTTCGTGTGGTCAGCGTGCCTGTGCCTGGTGCAGCGTGCCCGGTGCTCGCACAGGCTGGGGAGGCTGCTCAGGGAGAAGCAGGCCCGATGGCCCTGCCCCTCCCCACCGATTCTAAAGCTCCCAGGCACTCCTCCTGCAGGAAGCCCACCTGAGCATTTGACAGAATCACTACTCATCTCCCTGCGGCCTGACTGGCATGGGGAGACCAGAGGGAGCCACCTGGGGTCGGGAACACACCCTTGAAGAAGGCACTTCTTCCCTTCCTCAGCCAGAAAATAGGAACCGGACAGAACGGACTTCCAGCTCTGGTGGAAGGGAAGGAGGCAATGTGCGAGTTCCACGCACACAGGCACGCACAAGGTGAACAGACACCCCGGAACCAATACACCTGGGTTCAGGCCCAGTGCCTGGCCCAGCACGGCGGGGGGGGGGGGGGGGTGCAGCCAGGTGGCCTTTTGCAGGAGTGCCCTATAAAAAGTGGGGGTGGCCGTCGTTGCACCTGGTCCTCAGGGGATTAAGTGTTTTGTAACCCGGGAAGTGCAGTCATCTGGAGACAAGGAGGACTCAGTATGGGCGTGCAGCCCGTTTGAACAGACCTCGCTACAGAGAATGGGGTGTGGTGGGCTGGCCACTCAGGCCAACACATCAAAATGATTCCGCCTACAGAGAAGCAGCCCTCGCCTCCCTGTCATGCAAGAGATTCTGACAACCATCCTGCAGTGCAGCAATTTTCAACTGTTTCCATCATGGTACACATAAACTAGTTACTAAAATTCTGTTGGCACACCAGGAAAAAAAATGTATTTTTTTGCCAGCCCGACCGAAAAAAAAAAAAAAGGAAAAGGTATAGTTTTAATTTATTCACACGGGGTCTACGGTCACACCACCCTGAACGCCCCATCTCATCTGACTTATTCATACTGGAATGCTATTGTTGTGTTGCCTGTTGTCATTTTTCAGACAGTCTAAGGGGAAAATGGTCAGTGCCCCTGACTAAATAGTCAGGTATTGCACGCTTGAAATTTGTTGTGACACAACCGCGGCTGTAATGTTGTCAACATCCCACAGTCCCACCCAGGAGGAGGAGAAGCCACCCAACCCCGTGTTATCTGGGCTGAGGGCCGCCTGGGGGACAGGCCAGGCTCTCCATTAGCCGCACTGTTTGTTTGTGGTTGGCCGTTCCATGAAAAGCGTGAAAATGCAACTCTTAGTGATTCACGGCCAACAATCCTCCCAGCAGCAGGAGCAGGAAAGTTTGAAAAGCGATGGGGTGAGGTAAACATCCCCATTGTTTTCTCTTCGAGTGCTTTCAGAGATCGGTTTAACATTTAACTCTTTAATCCTTCAGGATCGCATTTTGGTCAAGAATATGGATTATATTCCTCAAATGATCCACTGCCTCAGTACGATTCCCCCCCATCATTTTAAACCAGGGACAAAATTCTTACAAAGGTCTGTTTCTGAGCACTTTAATTCTATCCCATCCACGTCTCTAAGACTCCATTCTAGTTACCAGTTTTACAGTGTGTTTTATTATCACCTTTAAGTCTTTAATAGAAGTTTTCTTGCTTATTTTCATTTACTGATCCCTCCAAACTTCAGATCAATTATAAGAGTCACCTCTCCCCCCAAAGAAAAAAGGTCTTAGCCCTGGCCAGTTTGGCTCAGCGGTTAGAGCGTCCACCTGCGGTCCCGAGAGACCCAGGTTCGGTTCCCGCTAGGGGCACGTACCTCGGTTGCAGTTTGTCCCCGGCCCTGGTTGGTCGTGCGGGTGGCAGCCACTCGATGTGTCCCTTTCACATCGATGTTTCCCTCTCTCTCTCTCTTCCTCTCTTTCCCTCCCACTCTGTCTGTACAAAAAATGGAAAAATGTCCTCGGATGAGGATTAAAAAAAAAAAAAAAAAAAAGGTCTTAAACACAGGTGGGCAAATGTAGGTTTACAGTTATGAGTATGTGAAAGTTTATTCTTGTATTATTATTTATTCACTTATTATTGTATTATTTGTCTTATCATTATTATTATTTTGTATCCTAACTTATGATTTATCTTTTAGTATCCAATGAAAGTGGATACTTAACCCTATTTTGCCCCCCCCGTACATAAAACTCTGAAGGAGAACTGGTACCTTTCCAGAGGCACCCTCCCGGGACATGGCCTTTCACCAGGTAGGCAGGTCTCTGTTCCAGTCCACAGTCAAGCAGGTGGGTGGACTAGACGACGACAATGATACGAGGTGGGTGGAGCAGGCTATCAATTCGGGAAAATGAAAACCACTTAGTGAAACTGACTTGCTCTGGGGACGAGGATGGAAGGTGGGAGGTGGAGCTCCCACCGTGGTGTGCGTGGATCTGATGGAGGCCCAGCCCCGGCGGTGTGGATGGCGACGCCCAGCAAAGGCCGGATGCTTTCACACCATCTCTCCTGGAACCCCAAGGTGGTCTTCTGAGGTAGACACAAGCACCCCCACTTTACAGACAAGGAAACAAACATCTGTGTGCAGAGTAGGCTCCAGACAACCCTTTCCCACGTGTCTTCTTCACAGACCCCAGACCTACTCTTCCTCAGCCCTCAGCCCAGAAACAATGTTTTGTTTACAAGAACTTTCTGGGAAGCTTCACCAATTCAATTCTTTAAATTAGCATATATCATTTAGTATAAAACACTTCCTTATGTTAGAACACAGCGAAGTGAAAAGAAAATTAGTCACTATTTTGTTAAATGATGTTACAAGCACTCACAGAACTCCCCTAATTAAGTGGTCAAAGAAAACATGATTTTTTAACTGAAACTATTATTAATAAAGCTATATCATTATTTAACCTGTTTAATGAATAGGTATTACATTAGTGTTTGCTAACCAGCCAGTAACAAACTGGGACCTCTTTGGTATCTGACTTATCATCTGGATCACTTTTGAAAAGGTTTACACTGGCCATCTGTAGATCTACTTTTATGGTAATACATTCATGCCCTTTGCTATTTGGGTGCGTCCCTTTTTTCTTTAGTGATACAGAAGAGCTCTTTATATACAGTATTATGACTATAACATAAAGATATCTTCTAATTTTTAAAAAACCCACATCTTTCATTTATTTATTTATTTTTAATCCGCACCTGAGGACATTTCTCCATTTTTTGTTCAAATACAGTGGGAGGGAGAGAGAGGAGGGGGGGGGGGGGCATTGATGTGAAAGGGACACATTGAGTGGCTGCCTCCTGCACGACCCCAACCGGGGGGCCAGGGACAAATCACAACCAAGGCACACGCCCTTGACCAGAATCAAGCCCGCAACTCACTGGTCTGTGGGCCGATGCTCTAACTGCTGAGCCAAATGGGCCAGGGCAACCCACACCTTTTAAATGAAAACTTGAACCTGGGAGCACGACTTATCCCTTCACCCCAAGATCTCATTTTCTATCAAATCAGGAATGAGTCAGTGGTTCTAAGAACAGGGGTGGGGGAGTGGTCCACAGTCCTTTGAATGTCAGGGCTGGGTGACCATGGCTCCAGTAAATGGACCGTGTCATCCTCTGGCATCCAGGTGGATGTGAACTTCTGCTGCCCCTCAGTAAAAGGAAGGCCATGTTAGCAGTGACTAAGGTGGCAGGAAGCTGAGGAGATGACTTTTATCATTTAAAGCCTCCTCTAGCCCGGCTCTTGTGGCTCAGTGGTTGAGTGTCGACCCATGCACCAAGAGGTCGCCAGTTCGATTCCTGGTCAGGTTGTGAACCAAATCCCCAGAGAGGAGGGGGATGTAGGAGGTGGCCAATCGATGTTCTCTCTCATCAATGTCTCTCTCTCTCTCCCTCCCTTCCTCTCTAAAATCAACAAATGAAAAAATATAATAAAGTCTCTTCTAGCAGCAAAATAGGTAGTCTGCAGTGCTTAAATCTGTGTCCTGAATTATGACAGTTATTGCTATTCCTTCATTATGAAGTGAAAAGTGTGTAAGTAATGGAAAACTTTCCAAAGGACAGGAAATCATGAAGAAAAAATGAAAAGCAGCAACAGGTGTTATAGGGTGACAAAGGGTTAAGCAAAAATCACTTCTCACAAAATCCAATCTAAGGACCCCCCAATTAGACACATCTATCAATATGGCACTGCCCCACCCCTACTTCAACAGCAAGGGCTGTTCCCTATCTCCAAGACCCAGCCCAGTGCAAGGCATACAGCAGGTGTTCAATAAATGATCATGATGTTTATTATTCAAAGGCCTGCTCAGACCTGGCCATCTGGAGCCAGGCCTTTCCACAGTGCTAGGAATCGGCCTCTCCCTGTGGTTTAACTTTGAGTTAGAGTTCCATTAAGGCACTCAGCAAAGCGTCTCATGTGAGTTTTCTCTAAAAACACAAAACCCAAACTGAAACCCCCTGACATTTATGAGGCCTATGGCAGGCCAGGGCTGCGGTAGGTGCACGGGATAGAAGTCCCC